TGTACAATGTAAATGCAATGTATACAGTATATGCATTGGGGCTGCAACTAACGATTAGTTAGCTAATAAATTAATCTGTCGATAATTTTTCTGATGAATCAATTGATAATCAGAGAGCCAAAGTTTCCTTAAAGAAGACTTTTTGCTAAATTAAACCAGGTGAAACTTAAATTTTTCCACTGGTGTTCTGGATAGAGAATATTGGCGGACAAAAAATTTTTTTTATCTTAAATGCAAATTGTTTACATATTTTTTTTTTTTTTTTACAATTTTGATGTAATTACCGCTCCAAGTCAGCTGTTCTTGCCGTCAGCTTCGGAGCTCCGCTGGTTGCCGCGGTCCTCTCAAGTTCGTCACATTTTCTTTTAAATTACGCATTAAATCTGTGAATGGGCCATATGGTGATGCTTAAAAGTATAAGGTTCTCGCCTCAAATGATCTTAAAACGTACTTTTATTGAACAACAGCAACAGAAAAGAGAACATTTAACTTAGTACTCTGAGCTCTGTGAGTTAAGAAGATGGACCGCCAAGCCAACCAATGAGCAGAAGTTGACTCTCTAGGACACACCCCCTCCTCATTTGCATAATGAGGCATAAATGCATAGAGAAATGTAAAAAGGGCAGAGAGAAATAAACAGCGGCGAAGAAATAACTAAGGTAAAAAAATACAAAGGAAGAATAAAACAGACAAAAATATTATAACATGCACATAAATAAATACTTAAAAATATAAGTAATTAAAAAATAAAGTTGAAGATTATAAAGGACAGAAAAATAAATAAGGTAAATATTACAAAGGCAAATAAATAAAGAAGCTAATTAAGAGTTATATACATTTATGTCTCACTTTTTTGTTGGCAATTAATTGTATGCTTATACATTTATTGAGCATTTATTTATTTCTGTATTTATTTTTAAATATGGCAGAGTTGGTCCTTCATACAGGTAACGATTAATTGATTGATCAAGATTAATCCAAATAATTTTTTCAGCTCTAATATATATATGTATGTATATATATATATATATATATATATATATATATATATATATATATATATATATATATATATATATATATATATATATATATATATATATATATATATATTTCTTGGACATAATCAGAAAATTAAAAGCAGGCATTACAAGTATAACCGGTTCTTCAAGGAAGAAGACAACTCTATGTCCCGAAGGTAAAGAAATTTGTTTTCAATTTGCTTTGCAACGTCAAGGGAAAACGAAACAGGCTTGTTAAAACAGACAACAGAGTTTACTCAGATAAAAAAGAGCTTTAAACTCTTTTATTTTTAAAAAAAGTAAATTTTTTAATGGGTGACCTCAGTTATTAACAACAGATTGAAAACAGGTCCTTTTCAATCTGTGGAAGAATTATTTAAAAAAAAGGGCAGCTCTCTCCATCTGTGCTCCGGGAGGATTGTCTCTTTATCTGCCATGTGAGGATGAGCTTCATTTTGAAAGCACATATGACCTCCCAAAAGATAAAAAAAATAAATAAATAAAAAGATGCTGCCCTTCAACCACCCCCTCCCTCCTGGAGGATTTGTACTTTTTTTGTGGCTCATCACCTCTCGTCTCTGCAGGTCTATTTTTCATATTATTTGCCTTGATGGGAATAACAAATCCAAACGGATTAAGGAAAGTATTTTGGATCAAGGAGAAAATATGCAGGTTATCTAAGGTTTTTGTTTTGTTTTATTTTTACAGTGATTTGTAGGATTAGTGGCTTCACATGCCTTGTTTTTGTGGATTAAATTTTGTTTTTCCTCTCAGAGAGGGCGACACTTTTCTAAAGTCTGCAACTATACAGCAGCACCTTCAATCAGCCTCACTGTGATGTAGAGAAATTGAAAGATTTTCCTTATATGATAGCTTATCTGATCGTATTGGCTTTCACATTTGTTTGGGCTCTGGGCCTCAGGTTTCACCATGCTACATGAAGCACACAGAGCTGTATGCCTTAGTCTAATGCTGGATAAATAAAAAGCTTTTCACAGAGAGCCAGCCTTTATCACACAGTCTGATAATGTGTCACGCAAGCAGCATAGAGCGAATTGCAGTCAGCACCGGTGTGTTTTACCAAAGCTTTTATGACTTTTCTCTGTGCGTGCGAACACAGCCACATGTGTTGTCCCACCTGCTTATCAACTGGCAAAAAGGAAAGATCTGAGATTTTTCTTGTGTTGACGAGGATGGGGAAAATGTGGCTTTTTGGGAAATATTACAGATGAAATAAAACTGTTAGAGCTACAATCAACAGATGGAGCAAACAACCCAGACGAATTAACCAGCAAGAAGCAGTCTGTTAGGCTTGTGTTAGTCTGAAAACAGCAGACTGACAGAAAGTAGTTTATTTTATATAATACATCCAAAGGCTGCGTCCAAGAAAACGCAACTGAAAAGGACAATAAATGTCATAGCTGACCCTGCTACTATTTTTTGGGTAATAAGCTGAAAAGTCTGGAAACCACTGTTCTAGGACATGTCTCTATAAATATATATATATATATATATATATATATATATATATATATATATATATATATATATATATATATATATATATATATATATAATTTTTCTTTTTTATTATTGTTCTTGTTTTTGTCTGTTTATGGACCATAATTGTGTCTAAATAAAGAGATTGATTGATATCTATATCTATCTTTCTATCAATATATCTATCTATCTGTCTATATATATCTATATATATAGATCTATATATATAGAGAGAGAGATATTAGCTAGATCTTTTCTTTTAAATAACATGCAGAGGCTTTAATACATATACTTCAACTCCTTTTTATCTGTAAAACCTAATTTTTTATCCCCTCTTTCTTACTCTTCTCTCTTTCTGTCTCCATGTCCATTAAATACGATTTTACTCCCTGAATCATTTTCAAGTTTACTATACAAGCATCAAGCAGAACCTTATGGCAACTGTCATAATGGTTGGTTTGTGAAAGCAAAGCTGTTGGGCTTATCTAACTAATCTAGCTCTGGGACATCTATTCTCAGAGATATATAGGCAAAACAGGACATACGCACACAGGAAAAGAAAGTGAGGAAGACTGAAGGTGAGGTGAGTTGGACCAACTGAAAGAAGAGAGAAAAAGTTCACGTAATGCTCAGCTGAAATACTGTTATATATTTATCAGCTAATTTGATTAAAAAATATCCTATTAGAGAACAAAAAGACTGGTTGAGTAGTTTTGCTCTATGTCGTCCTTCCTCTTCATATTGTTCTGGGATACAACCAAACATTGACACGCAATGTCAAACAAATCCCAAATCACCCATGCATTTCATCCTCTGTCTGATTAATCCTCACAGTCACAGGTGCTTCTCTCTAGTGCTCAGTGGGGAAACACAGAGCGAATATGACAATCAACCATGCATAAATACACTGCAACTAAAACACACACGCTTTTGAACTGTGGAGAACCCAGACATGCAAAAAGCAATCACTATGCTAAAAAGGATCTTCCTCCTGCAGGGCAAAGGTCATAAGAACTGCACCGACATGCTGCCCCTGAATCCAGAAATAACCCGTGTAAAATGATAGAGAGTAATGTAGACGTTCTCCAGAGCTTTGTGTTCTAGAAAACAAAGAAAAGTTAAATAAGAAGAGAATGAAGTGATCTCACAATAGCAATAAAGCCTAAAGCTAAAAAACTTTTTCCAATCATTTCACTGAAGCAGTATCACTTTCATCTCTGCAGTTTTAAACAAAAAAAAAAGACTTGGCGCCCCTAAAATTGAAGATGCACAGATTGACGTTATCTCAGCCGATTTCAAACTTTGTCAAATCGAATTTTCTCCTGAAAACACTGCATTTTTTTTCCTCCTATCCGATGAGTGAAACTAATTTACAGAGCAGGCATAGGTCAGTATGAGGTTCACATGGCATGATATCTCCTTTAGTTTCTGCATTTCAACTGTCAGTAAAAACTAACTGCCAGGGTGCAGCAGCGGGTGGGGGAGGGGATTTGCTACTCTAGAAAAAAGTCTGGTAAATTAAGCACTTTCTTTGGCATCTCCTTATCATCCAAACTGTTTATCAATAAAATAAAGGAGAAAATGTTTTACTTTTTCTTCAACCCATGGTCTATAGTTACGCCTTCAGCTTCCAGATTATGTCCTTGTTCTCCAGGGTCCCATAAAGACTAACTAGCACATAAATCTCTGTAAGATTTTTTACTATCCTCCTACACTTACAAACACTAATTTACTCCAGATCAGCATTTTTTTTTTAGATAAGAGGAGAAATCATATAATTGTTCCACATAATATAGAAAAATATACAAAGTATGTCAGACTTTTATTTTACTTTTTGGTAAATGTGATCTAAAATGAAGAATCTGATTAAACAATCGCAAAGTAATCAAATCATAGATAAAGTCCTTCAACATTAAAACTGATTTTGAGCTGTCTATTTTTTTTTTTTCTTTCTGCTTTCTCAGCTTTCTCTTTGCATTTGTTGACAGTCCTCAATAAAAAAATGTAAGTAGGTGTTAAATCTTATTAGTACTCTTTAATTTTTTATTTATTTTACTAACCAAATCAGCTTTAATCCTTAAATTGTGCAGTTATAACAAGAAAGAGCGACTTCTTTTATGTACGATTTAATAAAACACCAAGGTTACCATAGCCTGCACAGAGAAACACTGTCCAGCATCCTCACTGTAACATGAAAACATATCGAAAAATCCTGATTAAATAGTATGTTTAAAGGTGAATACAAGGCTGGTGGATTCAGGGATGTAATTCATTGAAATATAATATTCTTTGCTGTAAATGAATGACTTTTATAATGTGACGAGCTGAGAACAGAGGGAATTGTAGAGTAGAGAATGGTGCAAAAAAAATAAATAAATAAATAAATCTGTAGAAAAAGGCAAATATCCCCATTTAAGTGAAAAAGCTCAGGGTAAAAAAAAAAGAGATCTCGGGTAACAGCTATTGATCCAAACTTACGATTGAAGCCGAGCTGAGCCGAGCTTTCTCTCATGACCTTTTCTAGATTTGGAAGCATCGCTGGGAAGCAGCAGGAAGTTTTCAAAAACAGAAAACAGGTGGGGTTGAACATCTGACAGAAATAAAGCTTTGCAAAATAAAAAGCCATCATAGAAACAGAAACGATCATGGGGGGGGTTAAAATCAGTTTGAGCTATTAATACAGCAGCCATTTTAATCAGTTTATTTTCCTCATTCTTCTCAGAGGAAAGTTAAGCTCAAAGTTAAGCTTTCTTTATTATCGACAACAAACAAAGCATCTTTTAAAGAGTAATAGCCTTATCTTTAATGGGACTTTTTGAATTTTGGTTTCATTTAAAAACTGCTGTGGTTGTAAGAAATTACATAACACCAAATATTTTTAATGTTTTTTTTTTTTAAATGTGGTTAATAAACAACTAATAATTATTCGCTAAATTGATAATCGTCACGGTATCGTATTCCAGCTCTTTTATCATACTTGTTATTGTGTAATCACAAGCGTCAGGGTTTTAATGTTGTTTTCTGCTGAGCCATTTGGAAGTCGACGTCAATAAAATTTTATTTTCTTCTATCTAGAACTAACGACTATTTTGCAACTAACGATTAATCTGTCGATTATTTTTTTCTATTAATATTCGGATAGTAAGATGTTCCTTAAAGAAGATTTTTTACTAAATAAAACCAGGTGAAACTAAAACTTTTCCACTTCTGTATGGAGCATATTGACAGACAGTATTAAATGCAAAATGTTTACATATTTTGGTTTACAATGTTGATATAAAACTTCATCCTTTAGAGTCTCTATACTCCAGTTAACTTCTAATCAATTACTAAATTAGTTGACCATTATTTCCATAATTGATTAATCACAATTAATTGTTTCAGCCCTAATTCTTTGATATAATTTTTATTGTGAAATTATCATTTATATGACTTATTCATTTCAGTCTTTATAGTACCAGTATTTGCACTTAAATGTATTGTCTTATTACATATTTTGCTGAAAATTTACCTGATAATCTAATCAGATACTCAGTATTTTTTCTTTGGCAAAAGAAAAAATGTACATACTAATCATTTTTGGATGGCTTCTTTGTACTTTATGCGAGCCCTTACTTGAGAACAACCTTTGATGTTCAAACTTGAAAATATAGTTCAATTATGTTTATTGTTTTATGCATATCAACTTAAAGACAGTTGGATGATTAAGCAATAGTAAATAAGTTTAAGAGAGCAAAAAAAAAAAGCGGTAACGCTTTCTTTTAAAGTGAATCATTAACCATGTAATAACATGGTAATAACATAGCAAGTTACACTATATAACTAGGTAACGAGAAAAACTATGCATCATTTTGGTTACACTGGAAAAAAAATCCTTTTTTCTTAAAATAATTACGTGTTCTTGAATTAAGGACGTGAAAGGGACATTTTGCCAATGGAACAAGACAATTTACATTTAAAATTTGAAAACACAATTTAATTGTCTTATTTCAAGTGCATATTATCTAATTATATTAGTCTAAGAATAAAAATACTCATTACACTGGTTAACTATTTCATTTATCTACTCAAATGAGTGGTAAATGCACTTAATTTAAGAAAATGTTTACTTATTTCTAGATCGTTTTTTCATTGTAGTGCTGTTCTTCAAATTTTAAGGTACATGAGGCAAAGTCGGACTTTTAAGATTTCAAACAGTTATTTATAGGTAAGTCATTCATTTCACCAACAGCAATACATTCATTTGCTATTATCTAGTAAAACCCAGTTAATTACTTGACATATAACAGAAAACCAAACCTAGAAGACAGCAATCTTCTTCACTAAATTCTTATCTATATGTAACTTGAGTTCGGTTTTATAATGCTTTAGTTACCTGATCATAAGTTACAATTCACTTTGTAAGCCATTCGTAGGTGGTGTCCAATAATAGAAACCTAAATTTAATTACCCACCAAAAGTCTCTATTGTTACATAGAAACATAAAATTTTACTTTGTAAATATATATGTTAATTTTGAGGTAGTCACAAAATAAAGTTTTTCTTGTTACACGTTAATATTGTGTGACTGGCTATGTTATTACCATGTTACTACATGGTAGTTGATGTACTGTAAAAGAAAACGTTACCAAAAAAACAAACCTGCTGTTGGTTGACATCACTGGTTCGGCATAATTACCGCTATTGGGAAAAAACTTGATTCCAAGTATAGTTTTCCATAATCTACCTGGCAGCGGTGGAGCTAGATGGGGGGCCAGGGGTGTCCATGGCCACCATTAGCCAATCATTGGCCCCCTTGTGGCCACCCCTACTATTTTTTCCCTCTAATACAGACTGTGGAAGCAGCAATACTCTGAAGGGGAATGTTCAAACTTATTAAACATTTAAATTTGTCATATATTAACTACTTGAAAAGAGAAACACTGCGATTAATTATGCACATCAATGTACAAACATTAAAGATGATAGATACAGAATTCCTGCTCTTTTCAGAACTAAATTTTGAATTATTTGGGGTAAAGATAAAATGATGTGCCTCTGCAAGTCATCTAGGAGTCTTCTGTGAAATCATAGATAAATAACTACTTTATAATAACATAAAAATTATTTAAATGTGGATATTAGTAGATTTAAATATCATTGTTTAGCAGAATGATTATTGATAAAAGTAGATAATGACAATTGAAATATGTTCGCCCCAGAACTCAAACCTGAAAGAATTTTGTCCACTATACCTTTTATTTACACAGCATAGATGTTTAAATATGTTTGCTATTTGTTAGCAAAGGCTGCAGGAAAGTATAGTTTGTCTTTATTTTTAAAATATGGATGTTGTGCTTGTTCCCGTTGGAACAGATTGACCCTGAGGCTCTGGTGCCTTTCGGTCACCCCTCAATGTTCATTGGTTATTGACTGGACACCCCTATTAGGTTTTTCTGGCTACGCCTCTGCTACCTGTTACAAATCTGTTTTTAATTCAGTAAATTATCCTCCCTAAAGGTATCAACCGTTTTCTAATTGCTCATGTTTGTTTTGTTTTTTTATATATATATTTATGGGGCGTTCACGTGTTAAAGAAGGAAAATAAAGAGGTAGAAACGGAAATACCAAACGCGTTTGGTCAAAATAACTCCTGTGCGTAATGAGGCTTGTTTGTTGGAATGATTTCCTTTGAAGATTTTCGACTAATAAAAAAAAAGGATTAATTCAGTTTGCTGAAATTAACAAAGCTACAACTTTTATTCCCATCACCCAGCAGATGGAAAATAAGAGCCAAGCTTCATCCATAGAAAAACTGATCAACTAATGGAAAGTTTTCACATATGCGTGGTGGAAAATATTGAACAGAGAGCGCATTCAACTGAACTGTCCTCTGGTGCCACAGGCTCGTTTCATCTCTTCAATCCAGAGATATTTTCATCTAATTCATTCATTTCCAAGCAGAGGTGTTCAAACAATGAGGCTGAGCCATCAAAGATCCTGACAAGCCCGGAGCGCAAAGGGGACAACCCAACAAAATACTGTACAGTTAATGGACAAAATAAATATTCAAAATCTCTCTATCCACCAAATCTGGGACGAGTCAAATTAGGATTAGTTTTTAGGGTAAATTAATAAATAAAAACAAATCAGTCAGTCGCCAATCTCAGGCAAATGACACACATATCTTCCAGCCGGGGGGAAAGGAGGAGGAGAGGCGCATGTCAGCCCAGATCCGGGACTCTGCTCTTATTTAAACTGCGGTCATCTTTCTCCAGCACAAGAAAATAGATTCAAATAAAAATAAAAATGAATCAACAGATTAAAAATGATCCCCATCGTGTCCTTTTAATCTAAACCACATGCAGCTGTTCTCATAGAGCAGCCATGGAGGGCAGAGGAGCTGTCATTACACAAAGGGTGCGCACCGTTACCCACCTTCATCCCGGGGCTGCGCGCTCATATGACGGCCGGTGATTTGCTTCCCTCTCCTCTCCTGTGTCTCCTCTCCTCTTGTCTCTTCTCCTCTGTCTCCTCTCCTCTGTCTCCGGCTGGCTTTAAAGGGCAGGGAAGCCTCCTGCGCTCCTCCTTCCCCCCTCTCCGCTCTGCCTCATGTGTCTCTGGGAGCTTTGTGGTTTATTGTTCGGGGCTCTCTGCTGTGACTCCTCGCCGCGGCTCCCTCCCTCTGACTGGGCTGCATGTGGATGTACCTCCGACCTAAAGCAGCCAATGCGCGCGGGCTGGTCTATGACGCATGGTCGGATGCACGCTCCTAATAATACAGAGAGGGGGGGGGGCAGCAGTACGTGTGCGAAATCCAGTGAATGTTGAGAGTAAAGTATGAAAATCCAACCAGAAGCAGAAAGTCAGAGATCATTAAGCTGAATGTAAATTTAAACTGTGGTCCTTTTTCTGTTGAACATTTTATATGCTGTCCAATGTCCTGTCATCTTTCTGACTTTGATTTTTTGCATAGTGTCCCTGTTTTTAGCTTAACTGTTGACAGTGGCGGTTCTAAAAAAGAGGGGGGGGGGGGGGGGGAGCATAAAATGAAAAATATATATTTTATCATATGAAATAAATTAAGCGAGTTGCAGGACCAAAGAGACGCTTGCAGCTCAGCACTGAATGAATTTAAATTTCTATGTCATTTAGTCTGAATAAAATTGTATCTAGTTCCAATTGAAAGTTTCTACTTTTGGTTTGAATGTGTTTATTTTATTAACCTAAAATTAAATAAAAACCTTAACCATGGGGGGAAAAGCATCTGAAACGATTATCTGCTAATTAGATATCTACTAAAGGATCTAATAAAGCTATTCTTTTTCATCTTAGGTCAATTAACCTTCATAATTTTGAAATATTAAGGATTTTCTTGAACTTATTTTAAATGAAAATTACCTGTGTTAATCTGAACCGGGATTAAAACTTGAGTGAACCTGATTAATTCAACAGGAACAAATTAGAGAATAGTTTTTCTTAATTTGAATCAAAATAACGTTTAGCAGATGAAAACTCACTGCAACCGAAGCTATGACCTAAATTTTAATATCATAATTATAAAAAAAAAAATAATAATCTGTGACTATATCTATTCTACCCATATCATCATTGCAACATTTCTTTTATATATATATTTATGTTTTTAGTACAGTGGCCATAACAGGAACCAGGACTGGTTCAACAGGGGGCCCTGTTGGCCCCTCTCTAGAACCGCCCATGTCTATGTGTGCTGGTGTAAATGTTCACATGTTATATTTCTATTTCTGAAAAATAAAGAAAATGCAAGAAAAAAGAAACTATGTTAGGTTTAGAGATGAAACATTGCCAGAATAAACTCAGAAAATTATGAAAATAACTTTATATTAGCTCTATGAGCAAAAATGTGTCAAGTTATGAGAATAAAGCAGAAACATTTCAATCCTGTTTTCAGTATCTGACACTGATATTGTTGTTAACTGTCATTTATTATCAAAGCATATTTAAGGAGTTGAGACATATATTTTTTAGGTGATAAATCTACTTTAGATGAATGGGAAGGAAAATATTCTTATTTTTTTAAGAAAAAAACCTCCATTTATCTGGTTTGTCTAGCATCCCAGAAAGTTTCTCTAGTGGTGATTTGTAAAAAATGGAGACTCAATCACAGCGCAACAAAGTAACTCAAAGGAAAAAAAATGCTCTCGCTTTCCTGAGTCATATTGAGCTGTGGGAGAAAGCTTGAATTTCTCCATGCATAAAACATGCATAAACATGCATAAACCGCTAATGCTGGGATTCTAAACTGCCTAGGCAACAGTGCTTACAATTGTTTTACTGTGTGAAATACTACAGTCAGAATAAAAAATGTAAAAAAGCTAAATTAAATATTTAAGAAATTTGCTTTGATGATAAGGTTTTACACGTAAACATATAGGTCTACAATGAATACATGATGTGGAACAACCAAATACCAGTTAGATAACAATGTTATGAGTAAAAAGTTCATGTTTTTGTGGAGGGAGATGTAAAATATTAATAATATGACTGTAAATTAACACACTTTCAGATTTAATTAATGGAAAAAATAAAAAAATTAAGGAATAGTTATGGAGGTGAATAGTGGGGCGTCAATGTCTCCCTTTCATTAATTTACTCAATTTGCAGTGAAGATTGGAGACAAACCCAGGTAATGGAGTACAACCATAGCACGCTATAACACACTGATTAGGATAATAAGACATTCTGTCAGTATTGAATATCCTGAAAAGCATCTGAAACCTTGATATATTCGTCTGTCCTACAAAACCAAATAATCTGGGAAGAGGAGCCTTAGTCAGAGATAAGAATCCAATAGACACTGTGGAGATAGGTGTCCCATGCGTAATGTCAGCCACTGCTAAATAACTCCAACAATGGGACCCCATGAATAGTGACCTGAGAGATATTTGCTGTCTGGTTTAATTTTGCAAGGATGCACCATTGAGAAATTCAAACCTAACGGGTCCCTTCATTTGAAATTAAAAATTGATGGAAGGATGGTGGGAAGTATCTGATTGAGAATTTAAAACCCTGATGGAAAAAGGACCTACATTAAATTCATCAAAGATCATCCCATGTGGTTTCTTTATTAGAGTCATGTTACAAACTGGGTTAGGTGTTTCTCCACTTTAAAGCTTCTGAGATATAAAGCAGACTGGAAGGTTTATTTCCCAGAGCTATGATTTCACTCATTGTGCAAAACAAGTGAAATGATAAATGTCTCCGATAGATAAATAGTATCTAAATGTCTTACATAAGGTCAGAACTCAATGACAAGAACTGCTCTGACAGATTTGCCTCAAGTTCAACAAGTATTTAGAGATAGATTTAGGGAGAAACAATGATTATATTCCACCACAACATGCAAAAGAAAGAAAAAAGAAAGAAAACCTGTTTTACCTTTTTTACATGAAAACAAATATTTTGCAAAGAGATACAAATTGAAGCTTTGAATTATTTATGAGATGTTTTATTATTCCCATAATTACAAAAGAAATCTGTTTCTATTTGTTTTTCCCAAGTTTTAAGGCAACATAAGAAACATCTGGGAAGCATAATTAGGTTTAATGAAGTGCCTAAGGCTTTAGATGTAAATGCACATTTGAGATCAGTACTGACATAAAAACTAACTTATTTCCATACATTTAGTTGGTGGTGGCTTTCTCGCTTCCACCTATTATATGGACTTCTGCATTATTGGAAAATCTTCATGAACAACAAACATAATAAGGTGCTGTTATCTTTTTAGGAAATGTGCAGATAATTTGGTTCGAAGGAGCAGGAGGACTTTGTTGCCCCTGTGGTGCAGCCAAGTGAGTTTTATCTGCTTAGACAAACACTACTATCTTAGATCTTGTCATGTTTAAACAAACACTTATGTGTTGTGCTTGTTTTCCGTTAGTGATCGTTTCTGACTAGCCTTCTCCAGCACCAACCACTGTTGCTTGTGCATATATTTATAAAAAACATGATTTAAATGTTTATACTGATGCATTAGTACATGGGCAGACTGGTTGATAAGTATGTGACCACTTAAGAATCCCTGAGCTGCAAAACAAGAAACATATTTAATTCCAAAAAACATTTTCTTCATTCATTTTTCAGTCAGAAATGTATGGCAGCGTTTTAATGTAGTAAGTTTAAAAACAAAACGTTTATATTAAATGATCATATTAAAGGGCTTGGTTTTCAAGTTGCTGACAGAGGCTGATTCTGCATTGGAAAAAGTGTGGCTCTTATTTATGGCTCTTATTCCTTCACTGGATCAACAGTAGAAGTTAATAGTAAAGGCACTCAGGACGGCTGAGTTGAAACTGGACAGCCTTTGCCTTTCAGACATCATTACAGGGTAGAAACTTCCATGGATGACTGAAACTCTCCATTATGAAAACTAAAAAAATGGCGCTATGTGCATTAGCATTTTTAACACAGAGTACACATGAAGAAAACGTTCATTTTGATCAACTCCATGAGGTAGGCTGTGCCTATACGCCCTGTCATGCAAAGGATTGTGGGTAAAGCTCCTATGTGGTGGATAGTAACGTATAGAGGTCGCTATTTTAAAACTATTGATCCCGATTTCTTTTCCTTTCTCCTTCCTTTCTGCCAGCACTATTCAGACAGCGTTTATCATGTAGACCAGAGAAGTAAATTTGCATTGGCTTAAGTTTATTTACCTGATTCAAATTGAGCCAGAGATGGCTTCCTAGAAATAATTTCTCCTTCACCGAAGTGAAGATAGTCGCTGTACCTATGGAAATAAATCAGTTACAGCGCACACTGAGACTGAAAAAAAAAAATTTGTCATTGTAAAATGAAAACTTTTGAGAAATCCATCATTTCCTTTGAAATAAGATGTAACTATTAAAAGAAAAACTATCTGAGCATTAGAAATGTGCATAAAACTATGTCGGTGTATTGCTAATTGCAAATGTATTTCAATTAAATAATTAAAATTACACGTGAATATATGTTGTTCACATGATAACTCTGTAAACAACGTGGCTGTGGTGAACGTAAACACTTGCTTCCATTGCAGTTTTGGGAAATATAAGAATTTCGATACTACCAAACAAACACTTCTTTGAAGCTTAAAAACCTTTTATATAAAAACTAGGTTTATTTTTTTCAAAATTAAAGTATTTCCATTTAGCAATGTGTTTTCATAATTGCAATTTGCACAATTTAATGGTCAATAGAAACGCAGCTGGGGACACTGATGGTCATATATTCATTCTGTCTTTTCACGCTGTGGCATCTTTTTTTTTAGAGAAGTTTTGATTGTGCTGCAGAGTCAGGGTCAAACTAAAGGCTCCTTCAGGGCCTTCACGTTTTATTGGTTTATTTTCACATCTACCTGCAGCAAAGACACTTGGTTGTAACTTTACTAGAGACCAGAGCACAGAGAAAACGGGGTCTTTCAATTGCATATACTGTTCCTGATACTTTCACTACAAAGTAAAATATTATATATAAAACAAAAAAAGTCTCAAGAAACTTTCAGACTGTGCCCATATACAGGGGCTGCATTCTCTGACTGGAAGTAATCAGTATCCAGTCCTATATATACATACATGTTGTGTATGGAACTGACTCACAATACTAGATCCAACAAATGAGATGCACTCTGCTTTATGATTTTTATTCTCATGTCATTTAATTTTATTCCTTTCTCTTAGACTTTATTGTCATCTTGTATGCACAAAACA